CGTCCCCCCAGAAGAAATTAACACAGGACTACTTAACATAAAAAACCCGGATGCCAGTCGTGAACAATGTTCCCTCTAAGCTGTGGAGTCTTGTGAGCAAACATTCTACTTTGTGAGCTACCGGCATGAAAGTTGCGAGCAAGCGATTTGGCTGCTGCATACATTAGTTTGCTCTGGCGCCCTCCTTCCTGAGCTGAGACAACAATGTGTGAGCCAGAGGCTAAAAAACAGTGAGCTAGCTCACGCTAACTCAGCTTAGTGGGAACCCTGGTCGTGAATAGGTGTGGGCCTTGTTTGACTAGAATGGCCGCGCTCTGCCATTCAGCGGCAGGCTGCCAGTGCTCTGGTTCAGCTAGGAGGGAGCAGGATGCTGACCACACACGGGAGAGCTTCAAGAGGCAAAGGCTCTGCGGAGAAGGAGCCACTGGGCAGGCCTGGTGCCACGCCCGAGGAGCCCAGAACTTCTGGATCTGGCGCTGCCACCCCTCGCCCAAAGAAAAGGGGGGGGGGGACTAAACCAACCAAGCAAAAACCTCCAAGGTAAGTTTAGAAAACTTATTATTGAGGGCCAAAAGTTAAAACCATAAATAAAAGAATGTTTATTTCAAAGACACATAAAACCATTGTAGGGGCCCAAATAAAACCTCCTAAAGTGTTCGAAGGGACAAATGCACAAGTAAGAACAATGTAGGACCCGACACATTTCAGCTCACAAGAGCCTTCTTCCGAGGTCAAATAGTACAAAGAACAAAATATACCGAGCAACAAAGTCCCTGTAACACATGTAAGGCAATAAACAATAATATAGGACCAAAAATGGAATGTTCCAATCTGGAATTGAATGACGCACCAAAAGATTTTTATTTGGGGCCACAAATATACCTTGCCTTGTGTCAGAAGTAGTTGCATATACTGGAAACAACATCAGGACCAATATGTACCTTCCAGTTTAGGTCCTAAGAGTGCAAGTAAAATTGCCTTATCAGGGACCGTGTGACATCAATGTTTCCTTTGGAGGCTGCTGCCGTCGCTCACACAGATTTCAGACTGAGGCCATGCAACAGATACATTGACCAGCCAAGGATCTCAGGCTCCTTTCTACACTTCCCCACTATGCCCCACACCTTTCAGAGAGCACCTGAACCTGACAATGCAGTGGAACAGTTCCTCACCTCTGCGGGCATATTCATCAGCAGAACCGCAGCAACAGGCGCCTGGGCTTGGCAGTACCCTTCCTCTGGCCGGTAGATGGTGTAGGCTTTCAGGATGCGGTAGAGGTCCTGCTGCCTGTGTGAGAGAGACAGAGGGGAGGATGAGAGCCAGGAACCTAGAACTTTTCTCCAGGCTCAAGATGGCGTCTAATCCAGGTATAGACCAAGAGGCTCAGAGGAGCATTTGAAGAGGGTATATAGCGCTTTGGCCTCTTGGAGACACCATTTCCAACCCAGGGCCCACCTAGCGATGCAGAGCTGCACACCAGTCTTGGGTGTGGGGCTGTAGGTTTAAGCCTGGACTCTGCCAAGTACCTAGAAGGGGCGTCTTTGCAAAGGCTCCTTAGGGGAGGGGCTGTGGCTCAGTGATGGAGCCTCCGCTTTGCACACAGAAAAACCCAGATCCAATCCCTGGCATTTCTTCTGAACAGTTCAAATAGACAAGCTTAGCCCAAGCTCGTCAGAAGCTTGGAAGCTAAGCAAGGTTGGCCACAGACAGTACTTAGATGGGAGACTTCCGAAGAAGTCCAGGGTTGCTACCCAGAGGAAGGCAATGGCAAAACACCTCTGCTCGTTTCTGGCTGGGAACACGGCATGGATGGGGGTTGCCATGAGTCGGTTCTGACTTGAAAGTGGGCTGCTGTTAGTAACTGGGCCTATGATACAAAGTAAGTCAATGCATTTCCCAGTTCATGGGTCAAAGCACCACTGGGAATGCTGAAAGAGAGATGGGTTTTGTTTTGTTTTTTGTCAACAGTGCCTTACTTACTATGGGTCCAGTGTCCTCAGGTACAGGGAGAAAAGAGAGGAGCAAGAGCCACGGTGGGAAGGTGGAACAGGTGAACAGTGTACACATGCGTGTAGGAGTTCGGCAGCCAGGGAGGAATCTAGTATGTGGCTGATGCCTGCCTGACCTCGTGTAGCGACACTCTTCCCCTCTGCCGTCCACTCACCCATGGCCTCCCCGATCAACAAATATCTCGTGCAACGGGAACTGCCTGTGCAGGTCTTTCTCAATCACATCAAGCCACTTGGGATCTCCAGCTTGGCGCTCCAGTTCCTAATAAGACAGGCAGACAGAGAGAGTAAAGAGAGTATGCTTGCATATTGTAGGCATTACAATACCAATAGCCCATGGTAGGCTCCATTAGATACTACAGCTATTATGAACATTGAAAATCTTCATTGATATCTTTGAAACGTCACCAGAGGAAATGAATTACTGAGAGACAGTATTTGTCTCACATCTCTGTTCGGAAGAAGAGCTACCTTCGAAACGGCAAGACATTCTGGAGATCACCGTCAATTTTTCGTTATTATGTATATTATTACTGTTCACTTTTTGTGTAATTTATTCTTTGAAGAGATTTATTAAGCGTCACTTGTTCAGAGTTCTTCCTGGTTGAGGACAGCCAGATTTCTCTCGGGCCGGGGACCCCCAGGAAGTTCTTGTTTCCTGAGCACAGTCCTCTTCCAAGGGCATACTGGGAGAGGCGGTCCTGAAGGTACGTGGTTAAGATTATTATTATTATTATTATTACAATATTAGATTTATATCCTGCTGTCCCCCACTAATGTGGGGCTCACACCGGGTTCCGACATATAATAAATAGAACACATATCAGATTAAAACATATCAATTAAAAACAAGTCCAGCAATACAATTCCTAAGATGG